ACCACGCCCACATTCCATATAAGGGTAATTTAGAGAAATACGAAATCTTCGATAAATCAGTAAATATTAATGCTAACTTATTCAAAATTGATGCTCGCAACAATTCTTTACCAAGAAATATGTTTATGGTTAAATTTTGGATAATGGGCGTGGCACCGCCCACTTATGACCACATATATGTATATCGGTAACCGTTCTATCAATTTGTACCAAACTCGGTATTTTTATTGTTCTTGCCACATAAAAGCAAAACGTTGAAAATTATTGAAATCGGACTAAAATTACGGCCGCTTTAGCACTGACACTAGTGAAAATTTCGATAATTTGAAACACATTCTGGAAGTAGTCAAATATAACGAACACCAGTGGCGCATTTGCTGCGACCTCAAAATAGGTTCATTGATTACAGGCTTAACAGCATCTGGCCGTCCAAAATATCCGTGTTTTTTGTGCGATTCAGATTCACGATACGGAGAAGGTATTAAAGGAAGAAACCAGTACAAACAGCATAACTGGAATAGTCTCATTGTACGGAAATGGCCTAAAGACAATAGGCTACATGAAAGTCTTGTTCCTGAAATGAAAATTTTATTGCGGTTGCTCCACATTAAACTGGGCATTGCTAAAAATTTTTTGAAATGTATCGCAAAAAGACCAGCAGTATTCAACCGCTTAAAAGACATTTTCCCAAGACTAAGTAACGCCAAAATTCAGGAAGGGGTTGCTAATGGTCCCGACATACGGAAACTAATGAGTCGTCAAGATTTTGACCAAGTTCTGACAGACCGAGAATTAAATGCATGGCTCGCATTGAAAGCAGTCATTAAAGGACTTTTGGGTAAAGAACGCAAAGACAACTACAGGCAATCTGTTGCAAATATGTTGGCAGCTTTCGATGAAATTGGGGTTAATATGTCATACAAAATTCATCTCTTGCATCAGCATCTTGATCAACTCGCTCAATAGTTGCCAACTGAATCTGATGAGCAAGGCGAACGTTATCATCAAACTGCGCTTCCATTTGAAATAAGGTAACTATAGAGTGTGCATATTTTGAATTCCTAGATTTTTCTAATATCTTTGTCAGAGTGCACAATTTAAACATGTTAACGATTGAAAACTATTTTCGTTCCAGGTACAGAGGAAAGAAATCTCCAGATGCAATACCCCCTGAAATTTGTTGGTGGTATAAAAACACCTTTAAAGAAGAGGAAGACGAGGAAAAAGAGAAAGAAGGGGAAGACAAAGATGAATTCCAGAATATCTGTTGGGCGCAATTATCGACCTTTCTGATGATGATGACGATGACCAGGATATTAGAGAGAGCAGTGATGTTGATCCACAGCCGCCTGCTAAACGGCAACTGGCCAAATCATTGATTTAATTTTTTTACTTAAAACTTTTCATAACTAACATTTCAAAATTATATTTTTTTCCATATTTTTTATAATTTCTTTTTCAATGTTTCTTCAAAACCAACACTGAAAAAATTGGTACACAAGAAATGAGAAGTAAATTAATATTAAGCTGGAAAACGCAAGTTTTGTATTATGATTGTTTTCTTTTCAAATGAAATTTATTGAAGAAACTGAGAAGCATATTATAGATCAAACAGAAAGCAAAAAAAACTTAGTTTTGTGGAAAATATGTTCAAAAAGTATGAAAAAAATGTACTATCTCGATCATCTAAACATCTCGGACTCGCCCACCCAGCACCGCTGTGCAAAGCTTTGCATGCGCAGTCGCCCGCGACACATATGTGCTGATTTGGGCATCCTTAAACTAGAGTATTACCGAGTTACTTTATGTACATATGCACACCAGCTGTGCACTAGGTAAACATTACACAAAAAATTATCAAAGTGCAATAACGCCATAATGGCTTTATTTCACTTTCACAGTGAGAAATAAGATCATACGCAAAAATATGGCTGTACTTCTCAATGTAAAGTGAAATGAAGCCATATGGCGTTATTTCCTATGGCTTTATAACACGGCATCACAACGTGCCTTTATCCCATATCTCAACAGATTGTGAATCTTCGCCTCCATTAGAAGCTGAATTAGAGCGTAGTCTTCGTACTGAATGGATAGCCAAGGCTTCATCTGTACTTATACAGTGGCTCACAGAAGTATTTTGCATAATTACTTGTATGCACAAATTTCAAATTTCTTATGCAGTAAATATCCGAGCTTACTAAATCAAATACGTACTCCAATTATTGAGCATTTTCTTAGGAAATGGGCTACACGGCGTGCCCAAAAATTGTACCGTTAGGTACATACAACAAAAAACGTGCTTAGCAATGGAATTCTGTGCTCACAAAAGTATTTTGCTTTTTATTTTGAAACCGTTACTGGGCGCAGTTTCGTTTGTTTTTCTATTTTCGCTGAAGTGGCGGTTACTAGTGCGTTTTATCATCAATTTTGCTAGTGACTGAATTCATTTCATTTGCAATTGTGGGACTTTGCACATCGTAAATGCCAAAGGGTAAAGAATTAACTACGGCTGAAAAAAAAGATTATTTTACACCCTTCACAATGACGGCAAACCTACGAGATATATTTGTAATATGTTTAGTCGATGTCGCCAAACGATCGAAAACGTAATTCAACGGTGTAAAGAACGCGGTAATTTGGAAAATATAACGCGTGTTGGTCGACCAAAGTTGCTGACAGTGAGAGAAGAACGCCAAATATTAAAAGAAAATCGCCAAAACTCACATTTATCAGCCCCAAAAATTAATGACAAAATAAAGGCAACCCTTCACACTCAAGTATCCGATGAGACGGTGCGCAGAGTACTCAGAAGTAACAATATCCACGGTCGTGCAGCGCGGAAAAAGCCACTAATTACAAAAGTTAATAAAGAAAAGCGACTTCTATTCGCCAACACCTATAAAACAAAAGGTTTTGAGTTTTGGAAAAGCGTGATCTTTGGTGACGAGAGCAAATACAACATTTTTGGACCGGACGGTCGTCGTATGGTATGGCGGAAGAAAAATGAGGAGCTGCGAATCAAAAATATTAAATCCACTGTTAAGCACGGCGGAGGTTCTGTCATGGAGTGGGGTTGTATGTCGGCTCAGGGAGTTGGAAAACTAGTGTTTATAGATGGAACGATGGATAAACATCTTTATTTGTCCATTCTGAAGGACAACTTACATTCCAGTGCTGAAAAAATGGGTATGTCAACTAACAAGTTTTTATTTCAACACGACAACGATCCCAAACATACAGCTCATGATGTTAAAATGTGGATACTTTTCAACACAAAACATTTGCCAACACCTCCCCAAAGTTCCGATATCAACCCCATAGAAAATCTTTGGGCCTATCTCGAAGATAGAGTGCGGGGACACAAAATTTCGTCAAAGAGTGACCTGAAAGCTGTTTTGCTCGAAGAATGGGAAAAAAATACCTCCTGAATTTTGTTGAAAATTGATAGAATCTATTCCAAGACGCTTGGAGGCGGTTTCCAAAAATAATGGCTATCATACAAAATATTGAATAGATAGAATATCGTATATTTATTCACCACCTAGTCAAAAGCAAAATACTTTTGTGAGCAATGAATTATGATTTTTTTAAGTTTTGTTACGTTTACATGAAAAATATTTTTTTTTTTTAGTTTTAATACATTATTTATGTATCATTAAGATTAATTTTAACAACCTGTCAAATACTTAACAAAAAAATAAAATAAATTCAAAGGTTTACTTAATCTTCTCATGCAAAATACTTCTGTGAGTCACTGTATATGCACAAACAAATACTCTTAATCTGATATTGAAACGTGGAATAACGCTTTTTCAATGCAGAGGCAATAGAGGAAAGCACTTAGAAACTGCCTATAACTATGTGAACTCGATTCCGCCTACAAGTATTGAAGCCGAGAGTGCGTTTTCCGCCGCTGGATATATGTATGTGTAATAAAATAAGGTCGAATTTAAAAGACGATACCTTAAATACTTTTTCTCTCTTGTTCTGATACTGAAACGTGGAATGACGTTTTTCCAATGCGGAGGCAATAGAGGAAAGCACTTAGAAGCTGCCTATAACTATGTGAACTCGATTCCTCCTACAAGTATTGAAGCCGATAGTGCGTTTTCCGCCGCTGGATATACCGTTGAAACACAATACCGAATTTTCGCAAAGTAGTGCGACGACGGTGGCAACTTTCGCCCAAAATTTTCGCTCAGTAAAATAACTACGGCGACAACGAATTCAGCTGCTTATGACAAGGAACAATTAAAGTTTTTAGAAATAATAAGATTATTAATTTTTAACAAACCAAATACAGTATTTTTCAATTTCTATCTAAAAACTTGAGAATATTTAGCATATGGCCACAATGGGTCGTATTTTGCCGGTGCCGCCTGCGACGACGATAGAAATAAGTCTAGCGTTGCGAACAGTTATCGGACGAACGTCGTCGTTTGCTTTGGTTGTGTGCGTTCTCATATACAACAGTGTGTTTTAATTTTTACAGCGAACATTCGCGGCGAAAAATTCGTCGGCATTGTGTTTCAGCGGATATGTGTAATAAAATAAGGTCGAATTTAAAAGAGGATACCCGAAATACTTTATTATTCCTTCGGAAATATTATCAAAAAAGTCAATTAGAATATATATTATATATATATATATATATATTATTAAGTAGAATTATATTATTAAATATATATAATATTATTAATTAGAAATAAATGCGTAGATTTTCTAAATAAAATCATCTTTTCTATATATTTGTTTAGAGGAAATAATATGTTTTTTTAATCCCGCAAATCCCGCGGGATTGTTGACCTCGATCCCGTAGGCTTGCGTGATTGCGATTTTTATGCTGGATTGGATTCCCTAGTGGGTACTGTTTTGGTACTGAGAGTCGAACCTTTTAACTGCATTCACATTTTTATGTTTTAATGAGTTCTCCATATAATTTTTATTTAAAATTTAAAACGTGTACAATACCTGTATTTATGTATCATTGCTAAGATTGAAAATTCAACATTATTTTTGTATGTCAACCTCAAACTTTGATTTTATTATTCTTAATTCATAAGCATTTTTACTATTTTTTTCAGGCCGCAGGATACTTAAGTTTCAACTCAATTTCCACTAATGACACTTCAAGGATATTGCATCTCGTTGTGGATTTATTTTCGAAAGCCTTGATAGCTGAAATTCAAGAGCGGGTTATATGCCACACCTTGGACATGTTTAGTTTGTGGGTGACAAAGTTTTTGGGCGAACTACCGAAATCAATCATATATATCTTTGAAAGAGGACTGGACCTGAAAACAACAACTCAACCTGTTCGAATAGCGTATCTTCAATGGCTTCTAGCTGCTCTTCAAAATGGTAGATTACACGCGGAGTCAAAAATTACTCCCCTTCTTCTTCCGCTAGTTGAAAAAGGTTTACAAAATCCCCTACAAATTCCCCTTGTATGTGAGGCACTTTGCGCTGCTTGTATTATATTGAAAACAGAATGCCCGCTGCACAATATTACCTTAAGCAATTTTTGGAGCGTCGTATTCGACATGAATAAACAATTGTTCTTTTCCGAGCGGTTTATGTTCGCTGCACCTGCCGAATCATTGTGCTATGTATCATTGATGGCTGAAAAGTTGTTAACGCAATATCCAAGCAAACTGAAAGGTACCCTTAATATTATATTCAAAGCTATAGTTTGCAATTTGTTATCGAATTCTCAAAAAGTAAGATCATACACTTTATCTTTGCTGCCAAATATATTCCATTCAATCGACGGCGTTACGTATATTAAATCCATTATAATAGAAATCGAAAGCCAGATAGATAATTTAAAATTTGATGATGAAAATGAAGGCAATTATGAAGAAATTCTAGCTTGTGCAAATACTTTGGTAGAAGTAATACAATGCATTTTTAATTTTGAGAAACTTCCTGTAAGTGATGCTATAAAGCTATCGTTACAAGTTCTAATTATATGTCACCACCCTGCTGTGGTAATTAAAGAACCATTTTTATGGGAAAAGATTTTAAAATTGAATTTTAAATTGGATCCAGAGAAATTTATTTCGCTAAATGCTGAACAAATTAAAGAACTTTTAATTGAAAAATTCGAAAAGAAAAAAGCATATTCAAATGCTATCTCTACTGTTGTTCGGTCGAGCCCTGGAGTAATGTTACCAGCATTTATAAAAAAAATTATAGCTGATTTAAAAACTGTTGATTCCGGTGTTGTTTCCGGCGAAGAATATTCCATATACTTAATTGCAAAGGCGGAACAATGCAATAAAAGAAATGGTAATGATATGTTATCAGCAGGATATACGCGAGATAATCATTATAACAAATCTCAAATAGAAAAAATACAGTTAGGAAATGAATGTGACCAAAGGCGATGCAAGGGCAGAACGAATATTTCAGAATATAACCAAAAACAGCAAGAAGCCTTAAAAAATCAAATTGAAAAAGAAAACTGCATAAAAGATCGTGTTGACCTTTTGAATAAAAAATTAACTAATGCAACTTTCATGCTAGAATCAGCATATTCTGGCAATCCTATGGCAGTTTCCCTACATTTCCACGAATTATTGATGCCAATTTTAAAACTGTTAAAATTACCACTTGCAGCGGAAATTTTGTCAAAGCTGTATATAAAACTAAGCGAGGTATGTTTTGAGGACTGCATTGAACTGGGAAAAGATTTAGCGGTGACTACTATTCGGTTAGTAAATCCGCAGTGCGATCACCCAAATGAATGGATTTTAAACAACATCGATGATAATGCTATTAGAACCTTACTAGAAGTTCAAAGACACTTAGTAAGATATATTAATGATGCAAATAAATCTACATCGCATAACTGTTTCAACGCACCGTCCTTCTCTTATGCATTTGAGTTTTTGAAACGCGTACTTGTTACAAATTCCATAGCCAACAGTGAGGAACTTACATTGATTGGTATGCAAATAATTGAAAATCATGCTCAAATGAGAGGACGTACCGTACACGGGGATGTGACAGATTTCAATCATCCTAAATATATGCCTCGATTAGAAATGTTGAAATTGTTGCTATATTTAATTAATGGTTACCAAGGTAGAGTTCAGACCAAAGCTTCATCTGTACTTTTGGAAGTGGCAAACTTGAGTTCTGGCGAAGATTATTGTGGACATGCTACTGGAGATGAAATTGAGATATTATTACATTCATTACAAAGCGGCAAAGAAGCCGTGAGGGAAGTTTCACTAAGAGCACTCAAAATTATAAAGAAATGTTTTTTGAACGAAGGCATGATGAATAGTGATTTAAAATCTCGGATGAAAATCCGTGTGTGGATAGCAAGGCACGACACATCTGCTGAAAATCGTACTTTAGCGGCTGATTTATGGGATTATTCTAAGTTTGTTGTACCTAGTTTGGACGAACTTTTTTCAGATGTCACTCATAAAGAGCTATGTATACAAAAGGCAACGGCACATTCCTTGTTATCACTGCTTGTCAACGA